AAATTTGAATTCATCAAATCATTATATGTCCAAAAGTCACGAAGCATCAATGTGTCTTTATAACTAATAACAATGCCATGTTTATTTTATTTTATTTATTTTATTTTATTTATTTCCAGGCAAGACAATACAATACAATAGATAGGAGAAACAAATGACAAAAACAAAAAGCCTGAGGATTACCTAAAAGCGAACTTAATCACTATCTAAAGGCTCTCCAAAACATTAAAAAGACAAACATTAAAATCTGAAAAATTCACAATTCACAATTCATATATGTACAATATAAAAAATTAATAAAAATATTACAAAGAGAATTACAATTCCATTAAGGTAAAAATATAATTTAATTAATTTAATATGATTTAATTTTTAAAAAAAATGTGAACAAAGCTGGTATGAAAATCACTTCCATACAGTACAATCATTTAGAAATACTCTATACTTTTGTTTACATAGTTTAATAGTATTGTAGGCCCTCTTGCTTAAGAAATTATTTGCATATAATGATCATGTTGCTTGTAGGTACGGGCTTTGATTGACGGAGGCAAATACTTGTACAGTGCTGGAGCAGACCGCTCCATTCGTTCATGGAGGTACGATGAATCAAACACTTCAGAGTACAAATGTTACAAGGTAGGTTACTATATACAGTTTATATATTTTATAAATGGTTTTTCATTTTATTAGAACCAAAAAGGTTTTAATAAAATAAAAACCATTTATAACGCCTGTAAATCAAGAAACAAATATTTGTTAGGACTGGGTATGGCTCACTAAGTCACAGGACCTTTGTGCCAGATAAATGAATGAATGATAATACCAACAACAACAACAAGAACGACAATGACAACTACTACAACATCAGCAACAACAATAATAATTATTTATTTATTTATTTATTTATTTTATTTATTTCCAGGCAAGACAATACAATACAATAGATAGGAGAAACAAATGACAAAACAAAAAGCCTGAGGATTACCTAAAAGCGAACTTAATCACTATCTAAAGGCTCTCCAAAACATTAAAAAGACAAACATTAAAATCTGAAAAATTCACAATTCACAATTCATATATGTACAATATAAAAAATTAATAAAAATATTACAAAGAGAATTACAATTCCATTAAGGTAAAAATATAATTTAATTAATTTAATTTGATTTAATTAAAAAAATATTGCTTAAGTACATATTTAAATTTTGTGGAATTAATTGCACATTCCCTAATATTTGGAGGTAGGTCATTCCATAAATAAGGAAAATAATTAAAAACAGTAAATTTATAACAATTGGTTCTAGCAAATTGGATCTTAAATCTAAAATCAAACAGATGACGGTTATTAACAATTTATGAAGTAGTTCAATTAACTCTTTATTTTTTGTAAGACCATGTGCCGTAATTGACAGATTTGTTGCTGTTTGAGTCGGATTTCCGGTGAGAAATGATGCCATTGACAAAGTTTTAGGGCTGAAGACTATGGATTCACAGGAAACATCTTTTAACCATGTTAAGAGGCGTAACAAGAGCAGAGAGGTTTCTCTGGCTTTTCCAATTCACTAACATAAGGAGGCAATTCAACATCGGGCATGCCACAAACTTCTTTTTTTAGACGTACTGCAGCATTCCGCATTAGTTGTTCATTAGTGATTCCTGCGGAATTAATGACAGCTTCAGCATAGGAACTGCTGCCTTTCACCTCATAAACTAGTTCACTTACATTCTTTCTTGTGTTTGGTTTGAACCCTATATCAGCTTTAAACTCTTCAATTAGTAGCTCTTTGATATAACTTGACTTGATGTTTGAATCAATCCCAAAAATTCTGAAGAATATTTACATAATCCTTTCGTAAACTTTGTAATGTCCATATTTCATGTTTCTCAAATATTGTTGAGTATACTTGACAGAAAAAAATGTGTTTTGATGTGGTTGGTACCTGGACGACTGTTATATCCAGCAACTAATTGAGAATTACGATTATCAACATAATGTTTCTAACAAGGCTTACAGTATCTGACTTCGACAGCAAAGGGATTTGTTGTTATATCTGACTTCGACAGCAAAGGGATTTGTTGTTATCTCAATACATCTTTCAAGTCTATCTTTCATGACAGGATCTTCTAAAAATTCAACATGAACCTTAAAGCTGTACCACCCATCATTGCTTACCAACAATCTAAGTCTTCTTTTATCTTTATTTTTACCTTTAGGATCACCTGGTTTCAAACACCAAATACATAGATCTTTATCATGCAATATACCATCACGTCGAAGTCGTTTCGGTTTAGGGAGTTCATTTGTAACATTACTTGCTGTCGAAGAGTTGTGTTCATGTTTTTGTTGTACTTCTGACGTCTTCTTTCTTTTGACTGCTTGACAATGGTTTTTGCTACTACACAGTGTAATTTCACATGATTTGTGCATGTATTTTCCGGTATTGCTAGCACCCAAATCAACTGTTGTAAACACATTTCCGAACCTGTCAAGATTTCTCCATTTTTCTGAATGATCTTTAATCTTATTACATCTACTTGGTATCATTTGGTCTATGGAATCAATTTCCGTACAAGTGTCACTACATAAAATACACTCTAGATGAACAGCAAGTGCACCTTTGCGCTTTCCTCTAGTTCCAATATTTAATGTTTCAACCATAGTTACAACCAATGGTAAAATAGCGCCAGAATATCGTAATCTGGTGTACGCTGTACAAATGTAAAATGACACGAAATGACCACCATTATCGTTATTATCACAACTAATGTGCAAGAAGAATACAGATACTGTACAATAATATTTGTTTAATGACCGCACCACTTCAATAGTCAGGGCTCCAAAGCACAGGTATGGGAGCCTGTAGCTGTGGTGTAGAGGCTAGACTGGCGCCTACTAGGGTAATGTAGTACTTAGCTTAGGCCTAGGCTACTGCTTAGCCTGGCCATTTCCAAAGCTGGAGTGTTCTATCTTTAGTTTTATATTTATCTTTTATAATTACCTTGAAATTAAAATGAGTGTTAATGAGTGTTAAGTATTTATTCACTGAGAAGGTTATCTTCTTTCATATACTTTTTCTTGTCAACATCTAAACTGTATTCTTCCAACTCACCAAAGTTAGCTCCAAAGCAAAATGTGCTCACTGCATTGTAGACCTTCTGTCATTGGCTAGTTCTTAGGTTTTTACTTTTAACCAATCACAGGTGATGTTCTGTTTTTTTTTTGTTTTTTTTTTAACTCAGAGAGTCCAATAACATATGATTAAACACCAAAGTTACCAATTTTGATCGACAAGTGGAATTATATACCAAATATTTTATTTTTGACGATTTTTGTAGCGGCCATCTTGAATTTCAAACTGGTTGACATACTTCGTTTTTGAAACTATGTTCATTGGACTCAAGAATGTAAATAACATATGATTATACACTAAATGTAACATTTTTTGAGCGAGGAGAAATGTAATTATATACCAAAATATTTGATTTTTGACGATTTATGTAGTGGCCATCTTGAATTTCAAATTGGCTGCCATCCTAGTTTATTGAAATTATTCCTATTGGGCTCAGAGAGCCTAATAACATAATTATGATTAGACATCAAATTTACCATTTTCCAACAACAAGAAGTGGAATTATACTGGAATATTTGATTTTCAATGATTATTATGGCAGCCACCTTGAATTTCAAAATGGCTGCCATCCTAGGTTTTTGAAACATGTCTCATTGAATTACGTGACCATGATAACATATAGTTAGACAATAGATTTACCCTTTTTCATGGAGTAAAAATGGCCGCCGAAAAACATGTTGATGCCAAATCAGCAGAGAACCTTGGTCCCCGGAAAATGGTCACAGGGGCCCTGTTTTTCACTATACTAAAATGGAACAAATCATAAACCCTACCTTAAATTTTACAAACACAATTTACTCTTGCTTCTGCCTTTTCTTGACTTTGCCACACTACGACTGCGCTGTCTTCACAACTCAATTCAATTCGCTTCTTGATTTCCGTTCTGAGCACCTCTTGACACACACCAGTTCTGCGTTACCCAGTCCAATTTCTCAGATATCCAGATCACCTCTGATTCGTTCAGCTTATTTTTGTTACGCCCAGATCAACTTTGCTCTGCCCAGATCAACTCTGCTATGCAAAGATCAACTTCTGCTTTACTAGATTTACTTCTGCTTCATCAGATCAATTCTGCTTTACCAGTTCACAGCACCACCAAGTGATTTTAGTACGATCACTTCCAGCATTCGATGACATTCCAATGAAAATAGATTTCTTTTACTGCTGCCACCATTGCTAATTCCTATAGACGCCACTGCTGTATATCAACAAAGAGACTCGGGTTTGTATTTCCCTAGTTTCTCCACTTCGTCGAGTAGTCGTACGGTCGCATAAGGGCGAATGCTTTATCAGTTTTATTCAAATTACGCAAAAAGCTCATTCCTTGTTTGAGCATAGAAATTAGTGAATTTTTAGAAAGTGTAACCTGATTTTTTGACAGGATAATAATAAAAGTAAAACAAATTCCAGTGACTGGAAGTGTTTCCGTCACTTTACACTGTAAAATTATTTTATAATACAATAATTTGCATGTTCAAGTTATCATTTTTATGTTACTTCAAAATAAAAAGTTAATTCCAAATTTGATTTTTATAATTCATTATGTTATATTTTATAAAGCAATACATGTATGCCTAAAAAATATTCATTTTTTATTATGTTTAATTATGAATAACAGGCATTAAAATGTCTTGGAAGCACATTCACAATCTATTACTGACCTTTCGACGATCTGGGCTTATTCACTAACCAATAGAGGCTATAATATATTAATTTCACACTCATTTGAATTCAACAGATCTTAAACCAAAATATTACCTCTTAAAAAAATGCTCAGTTTATTAGTGATTAGGGCTATTAGAATGTTATTTATTTTAAATGATGATTGATATTATAACAATCTTTGACATTTAGTAATTTCCTTTGCAGATATGCAAGCTACAACAACATTCAATCAATTGATGGAGCTTTCGAAGACCTAACACAACTTAGTGAATTGTATGTTATTTTTTGATTTATATGCCTTTTCCTACTAATAAAATACAATTCTAAGAAATTATTATCATACAACACAAATAATCGCTAACAAAATTTCTCTCACTCTGTCAAAAGAAAAAACATGTTTTTAACGACGACAGAATTCAAATATATATTTCGAGCTTCATACATTGACCAATATACTGTGACTCCACTCCACCCCCTCTTGGACTGTTAAAATTGCTAATATGTAATATTTTAAGACAGTGACATACCCCATAATCTGATTTCAAATCCGGATTCACCCCTGCATCCACTCCTGCATAATGATAGACGCATTATTACTAATAATCTAAAAACCTTTAAAATAGGTGAACAAATTTATATCCGTTCTCTTTAACAGGAAATTCATGCCATGTATGAATCT